GGGAGGATCAATACATAGCTTGACGAAAAGGTACGATAAGACTCTCAAAGCTAGGAGACAGGGAACCTAGTAGTGACCAGCGAAGAAGCGGGGGCCAGGAGCTGAGACTCGATCCCTGCAGCCACATTTAGGTGAGCACACACACACACACAAACACCAGTTTTATACACACATCAGAGATGTATGACCCTTGTGGGTTTAGCGCTTAGTACGGATTATGATAATAACTTACACACGAACACCATTATTACACACGAACACCAGTGTAACACACAAACATAAGCCACACAAACAGCAGTGTAACACAAAGACCAGTGTAACACACAAACATTAGCCACAAAAACACCAGTGTAACACGCAAACACCAGTGTAACACACAAACATAAGCCTCACAAACACCAGTGTAACACACAAACACCAGTGTAACACACAAACATCAGTGTAACACACAAACACCAGTGTAACACAAAAACACCAGATTAACACACAAACATCAGTGTAACACACGAACCCCAGTGTATCACACAAACATCAGTGTAACATACAAACGCCAGTGTAACATACAAACATCAGTGTAACACACAAACATCAGTGTAACATACAAACACCAGTGTAACACAAAAACACCAGTGTAACACACAAACATCATGTAACACACGAACCCCAGTGTATCACACAAACATCAGTGTAACATACAAACACCAGTGTAACATACAAACACCAGTGTAACATACAAACATCAGTGTAGCACAAAAGCATCAGTGTAACACACAAACACCAGTGTAACGCAAAAACACTAGTGTAGCACACAAACATCAGTGTAACACACAAACACCAGTGTAACACACAAACATCAGTGTAGCACACAAACATTAGTCACACAAACACCAGTGTAACATACAAACACCAGTGTGACACCAGTGACACACAGAAACACCAGTGTAACAAACAAACACTAGTGTTACACACCGGTGTAACACAAACACAGCGTTACACACAAGCACAGTGTTACACACACAGTGTTACACACAAGCACAGTGTTACACACAAACACAGTGTTACACACAAACACAGTGTTACGCACAAACATAGTGTTACACACAAACACAGTGTTACACACAAACACAGTGTTACACACACAGTGTTACACACAAACACAGTGTTACACACACAGTGTTACACACAAACACAAGTGTTACACACAAACACAGTGTTACCAACAGTTTTTACACACAAAACAGTGTTGCACCCCACAGTGTTACACACACAGTGTTACACACAAACACAGGTTACACACACAGTTTTTAACACAAACACGGGTGAACAACACAGGTACACACAAACACAGTGTTGCACACACAGTGTTACACACAAACACAGTGTTACACACACAGTGTTGCACACAAACACAGTGTTACACACACAGTGTTACACACAAACACAGTGTTACACACACAGTGTTACACACAAACACAGTGTTACACACAAATACAGTGTTACACACAAACACAGTGTTACACACAGTGTTACGCACAACCACAGTGCTACACACACAGTGTTACACACAAACACAGTGTTACACACAAACACAGTGTTACACACAAACACAGTGTTACACACAACCACAGTGTTACACACAGTGTTACACACAAACACAGTGTTACACACAGTGTTACACACAAACACATTGTTACACACAGTGTTACGGACAACCACAGTGTTACACACACAGTGTTACACACAAACACAGTGTTACACACAGTGTTACACACAAACACAGTGTTACACACAGTGTTACACACAAACACAGTGTTACACACAGTGTTACACACAAACACAGTGTTACAAACAAACACAGTGTTACACACAAACGCAGTGTTACACACAAACACAGTGTTACACACACAGTGTTACACACAAACACAGTGTTACACACAAACACAGTGTTACACACAAACACAGTGTTACACACAAACACAGTGTTACACACAAACACAGTGTTACACACACACAGTGTTACACACACACACACACACACACAGTGTTACACACAGTGTTACACACAAACACAGTGTTACACACAAATACAGTGTTACACACAAACACAGTATTACACACAGTGTTACACACAAACACAGTGTTACACACAAACACAGTGTTACACACAAACACAGTGTTACACACAAACACAGTGTTACACACACAGTGTTACACACAAACACAGTGTTACACACAGTGTTACACACAAACACAGTGTTACACACAAACACAGTGTTACACACAGTGTTACGCACAACCACAGTGTTACACACAAACACAGTATTACACATAGTGTTACACACAAACACAGTGTTTAAAACACAAACACAGTGTTACACACTAACACCATGTTCCCAACAAAACACGTGTTCCCACACGGGTTTTAACACACAAACACAGTTTTAAACACAAAAAACACAGGTTACACCCCAAAGGGTTACCCCACAAAACAGTGTTACACACAAACAAAAGTGTTCCCAAACACAGTTTTACAACAAACACAGTGTTAAAACCACACAGTGTTACACACAAACACAGTGTTACACCAAACACAGGTTCACCCAAAAACCCAACAGTGTTACACACAAACCCACGTGTTACCACAGTGTTACCCAAAAACACAGTGTTACACACAAACCAGTGTTACACACACAGTTTTACACAAAACCGTTTTTACACACACAGTGTTACAAACAAACACATTTTCCCACAAAAACACGGTTTTTACAAAACGGGTTTTACACAAAAACCCACAGTGTTACACCCCACAGTGTTACACACAAACACAGTGTTAAAACACACAGTGTTTCACACACAGTGTTACACACACTTTTAAACACAAACACAGTGTTACACGCACAGTGTTAAACACACAGGTTACACAAAAACACAGTGTTACAAACACAGTGTTACACACCAGTGTTACACACACAGTGTTCCCACCCCACAGTGTTCACACACAGTGTTACACAAAACACAGTGTTCCCACACACAGTTTTTTTTAAAACACACACAGTTTTAACACAAAACACGTGTTACAGCAGCTTCCTAAAGAAACACAAATAAAAAAAAAAATTTTAAAAAAATTTAATTGCCAGAATTTTGCTGTTTTTCCAACCACTGTTTTTTTCTCTACCTTTAGGGGGATAATAATAGAAAAAGTTTTAAACCTCCCGGGGGTGGTTAAAGGGAGGGGTAAAGGCTCGTTTTCCCGGGTTCCCGTTAATTGCGGCCCCCGCGTGTTTTTTGTTAGTCATGCTGTGGGGTAATTCCCTCTTGGTGCCCTTTAAAAAACGGGCCCTAAGTGATCGGGGGCTGGACTGTAAATTTTGAAAACCGAAGGGTCGAGTTTCCCCCAACTTTTTTAAATCAAACCACGGACATGGCCATTTTCCCCAGCTTATTACGACGTGACACATTTTTCCGAAGGTTTTCGCAATGTCTATGTATACTACATATGCAAAATGTGTGTCTAGTGCATTTCCCAAGGGCCATGTCAAAGTGTCCAGAATTGTGGGAGGCAGGGGCGTAAAACCAAAGACCAATTTTATAATGGTTTCCCGTAAAATTTTGATTGGAAAGAAGCGACCGTCCAAGACCATGGGCCCCAGTTATCCAGTATTGTGAGAGGCAGAAACGACCTTCCCCAAAAACATGTTTTAGTGGTCCCGCAGCTGTGAGAGGGAAGGGCACCATTCTAGACCATTAAAACCCAGTTGTCCAGCTTGTGAGAGGCAGACCCCGAATTGTAGACCAAAGCCTGTTGTCCGCAGTTGTGAGAGGGAGGAAAGGGCCATTCTAGACCATACCTATTTCCGCAGTTGTGAGAGGGGACGCGACTATTGTAGGGCCATGTCCCAGTTTTCCATTAGATGTGAGAGGCAGGAATGACCATCCAAGGGCCCCGACATTGTGGTCCCGAAATTTTTGAGGGCAGGGGAAAGAAAATCCAAGACCCGACATTGTGGGGCTTGTAATTTGAAGGGGGGAAAAGGGCCCCCCCCCAAAACCATGTCATAGTAGACGGGGTTTGTGAGAGGCAGGAACGACCCTCCAATACCCTGACATTGTGGTCCCGTAGTTGTAGAGGCAGGAACGACCATCCCAAAACCATGTCAAAAGTAGTACGGTAGTTGTGAGGGGGCAGGAAAAGACCCTCCAAAACCCTAACATTGGGTTTCCCCCGTATTGTGAGAGGCAGGAACGGGGCCCCTCCAAGACCATGTCAAGTAGTACGGGAGTTGTGAGAGGCAGGGAAAGACCATCCCCAAACCATGTCATATAAATACGGTAGTTTTTTTTTAGACCAGGAAAACCATCCAAAACCCTAACCTTGTGGGGGCCAGTAGTTTGTGAGGGGGCAGGGAAAGACCCCCAAACCCTGCATAGTAGAACGGTGTTTTGAGAGGCAGGAACGGAAACCCTCCAAAAACCAGTCATATTTGTACGGTTTGTTGTGAGAGGGGGAACGACCATTTCCCAAAACCATGTCATTGTAGTACGGTAGTTTTGGAGGCAGGAGCAGATTTTTTTAAATTCTTGTTTTCAATAAATTTTTATTTAGCAAATTTTTATACATTCTTGTTGTCAGCAGATTTTCATACATTCTTGTTTTCAGCAGATTTTTATACATTTTATACAGCCGATTTTATCATGAGATATCTACACCAAGAGGTGTATATATCACTGAGAATATAATTTAATCCCTACTTTACGGATTAAAAGAATCCTGACTGGTAGTAAAAAAATTATTTGCTGCCTTAATAACCCTCGTGTAGTCGATAAGATTTAAACCCTCTTCTTTCCCCTCTTTAGTGAACCATTAATCAAGTTTCAAGTTTTTTTTCTTTTCTTCGAGACATTAAGTTCACGTTGAACTTCCGGTACGTGAAACTATTTTCACTGGAGGACTAATGCTTTGTGCCTGACCTTGTTGATGCTCTGACGACGAGGTATATAAGATGGAGGCAGCTGACAGTAGGTACACTCCCCAGCAGGACACGGTAGGTGTTGATTAACTCGGTGGCGAACCTACATTGTTGGAGCCCTGAAGCTTGAACTGTTAAGGGGGCCCCTTCGCAACCACTTCTCATACAGTAGACCCCAAAATTTTAAATGTGGACTGAAGTTGCTTCTGGGGGCCCTCAGAGATTAGGAGCCCTGAAGCTTAAGCTTCAGTAGCTTCATAGTAGAACCTTCCCTGGAACACCTAGTGATTGTTACTTAAGGGCGTTCTTGTACCGCAGCTGATCCACAGCGTTTTCATGGTGAGACAGTATTTAATAACTGCGGTAGTGTTCTGTTGAAGGAAGCTATGTGCTCGGATATTTACACTATCAACACCACTATGTGGCCCTGCCAAGCATGGGCCAGTAGGCCTGCTGCAGTGCTTTTACTTTTTATGTTCTATGCGCAGAAAAATGAAAACCGTGGCAATGGTCAAGATATATTATATATTTCAGTTTGCGCACTGGAAATGCACTGATATATCAACACGTAAATCCCAAATGAATGAAAAATTAAACAGTTGCAAGCATAAATGAATGTCATCCTCAGGGGATGAATAATGCATTTAACTGTATATAGAATATTATCAAGGTAAAAGACCTTAATATAACTGTCAATATCTATGTTGCAGATGAAAGCAGTGTTGATTCTCACAGTGGCTGCTGCAGCAGCAGCTCAGTACTACGGCACCTACGGACATGGTGGATATAGTGCTGGTCCACTTGCCAGTAAACTTGTAGGCGGTGGTCACATTGGAGGTACAAGTGTTGGTATTGGCGGTGGTCTGGGCGTTGGCGGTGGTCTTGGCGTTGGCGGTGGTCTTGGCGTTGGCGGTGGTCTGGTCGGTGGGTACGGAAAGGTGAGTAAAAGCAATGAAACATCAAATGAGTAAAATTATTAATTTTGTAAATTTAAAAGCATTCATAACACGAAACAAACAGTAAATATAAAGACATGAAGTATATATAAGAGCTTCAAGAAAAACACAAAGTGCAAAGAAAATCTTTGATACAAGAGGTTCCTTGGATAAAATAGCGAGGTTGCTAAATTATTTCTTGAGACCAAAAAATATCAAAGTTAATCGAATGTGTAATGTTTACAGGTGGACTTAAGTGTTGGTGAGAGCGACTACCACTTCTCGTGGCGTCACGACGGAGGCAAGAAGTATGACTGGCATACTGCTAACTATTACTGCTACAGTCTGGGCAAGGGATGGCAGGGCGTCAGCATTGAGACTCCAGAAGAGGACAAAATCATCTCAGGCATCATCTACAAAGGTCAGTAAAACAACAACAATTTTCTAAGTTCACTTTACTTATATTGAAAAAAAATTTCCGCATGAGAAGGTTGATAAAAAAATCATTATTCATAATTATAATAATAATAATAATAATAATAATAATAATAATAATAATAATAATAATAATAACGAAAATACCCTTAATCACACTTTTGTTATTAATCATAATTTTTTGTTATCGTGAAAGGGAATGCTGTTTATTATTTTCTTCTCTGATTATGATCAATACTTGCTTGGCATTATTCTCTTATTTAACAAATAAGATACATGTGCAATAAAGATTTTCAGGTATTCCACATATATCTTACTAATGAATTTGCCTTTATAATCTCCTGTAATGATTATTATATTCGTTTTCTTGCACAGACAAGCTGGAGTACATCTGGACTGGTGGTTACCGTAGTGGCTACGACTTCGCCTGGCCTTCTGGCTATCCCTTCTACGGAATTAACTGGTCTTACACTGGCAGGTGAGTTCTGCACTCATCCACTTCTCCTTTGTAAACTTTAAGCTGAAGTAATTGGTATTTCTATACCGGATAACTATTTAATGGGCTGTTTTGTGTATGACTGACAGCCCTGGAAGTTGTCTGAGGCAATAATTAATAATTATGGCTATATAACTACTGTTTCTGTGTTGATCGAGAGTAATTAACTCTGAAGTGAAGATCATGAGGAATATTTGCTTTATTTTAAAATATTTGAGCGGTGTTCTTTATCTATTTTTAATTAATTTAAGGAAAACAAAATGTTTGTATAAGGTTCTGTAATCCAGTTTCAGTATTAAATTCCTATGATCAACAGAAGCGGTATTTTAAAAAGGTATAAAATACCGACAGGTTGTTAGGTACCTAACAAAAGCAGTATTTATATATATTTTAAGCGTTTCGATGAGGAGCTAAATAATAAGCATGATCATGTGTGGCCCGGTATGTGTTGTTTTCGTGATGAAAACAACACATACCTGAGCATGGGTAGGTAATGGGGAAAATAGATGAAAATGCTGCTCACTGCATTTGAATTCATCATGTCTGCTGTGCTGAGAAAGACACTAATAATTTGTCTTTCTGCCTCAGTGAGGGATTACCTCAACCAGACAACGCTGAGGAAGGGAAGGAGTTCTGTCTGGCAGTTCTTAACAATTTCTACAACGACGGCATCAAATGGCACGACGTTGCTTGCTACCACCCAAAGGCCATCATCTGCGAGCGTCGCGCTTACAAGCTCTATGGCTGAGCTCCCTTGACTCCCTCCCACCTCACGTGGGCTCATATTGCTGATTCTTTGAGACAAAGTGGAAACTTGATAGTCTTGGATGTTGATCACATATTTTATATCTAAAAATCTAATAAATTTACCAACCCTTTATATAATTTTTATATTGACCTAAGAATGGAGAGCACTTAAGCATTATATCTCTTTTGTGTTAGTGTATAACGTGAGGCATTAGAGTCAATGACCACCGTAATTATCAACAGGTTGGACCTAAGTGATGCCAGAACACTCCCTGTACGTAATACATAATAAATTGATCCATAGTCCCCTTCACTATAAATTCACATTTTAATTTAACATGACGTAAAATGTTATGTTTCTTGGAGTGTAATTTTTAACTACGTTGACATTCACAACTGATGCAACATCCCCCTTACTTCTGATTTGTAAACAATGTGCTACAAAGTTTTGGTTTTTCATTTGATGAATCGTAAAGTTTTTGCTGCAGATGCGACAGGTTGAGAGACAGATCTCCTTATAATTATTACTTCTACTGTCGCCAGTATTATATTCGCCTGTAAGCGACTGAAGAAGCCTGTTTAGCATGCAGAATGCCTCTTCACTTTATACTGGGATTCCTATTTATGATTAAGTAGACATTTGTGCAACACTTGGTTATCTATATTGTGGAAATTTTCGTGAGCCAGTGGCTTCTTCAGTCCAATACAAATAATAATGGTTGAAGATCAGGAGTTTGAGGTAATCAGTCCCTTAGCCTGGAGTTGATGTGATCAATCTAACAATCTTGATAAGAGTACAGCATATGTACGAAGGAGCTTATGTACTGTAGATAGGTGAGGTGAAGCAGTCGTAGACGGTGTCACATTGGACAAATCCACAAGTCATGCCCTTGGTAACTGACACTAAGAAACTGGTTTCAAAAGACACATGAGAAAACACTAAGACATACTTATTAGAAAACGTTTCGGTCCTGGAATCTTGATCCAATAAATATGTCCTAGTGTTTGTTCAGTGGCCTTTAACATTAAAACAAATTGCCTTCAATTCCCCCAGCACTCACAACTCATACGTTATTGGCACTTCACCATAAAAATAATAATAATAATAATAATAATAATAATAATAATAATAATAATAATAATAATAATAATAATAATAAAGGATAATATTATTATTATTATTAACAATAATAATAATAATAATAAAGATAATCATATTGTCGTTGATGTTATTGTTATTGCTAGTAGTTGTGCCATCTGTTGTGCTCCAGATGACATTAGCAGATCCTTGGATATATAGTAAAGTAATCCCAGGGAATTCCCCCTTCTTCCCTTAACGGTGGAGGAGCCCAGAACACAGGCTGCTCCACTGTCCTTCGAAGGTTCAACTACTCAGGGCCAGGTCTTACTTTACACCTTCGCACTAACTATTAATACTTTTTTTCTCCTCTCCCCGTTATCTACCCCTGAGTAACTTTAAGCAGAATCGGTCTCATGTTCTGCGGGAGTTGCCAGTAATAGTGGAATAACACAGACATGTACGCAACCTAAGATGTCATACCCTCACACGGAATGAGGCGTATCTCAGCAATGATATTTACTACCAACCCATGGAGTCCATGACTTATTTTTTAGCAAAAATGGATGAATCAGCAGTGTGCTACTACTATTCTCTATGACGGTTTCATTGTGGGAACAAAAGCTAACTGTGTTTCCCCCTGTCATATTCCGTCACGCAGTATGGGTCGCATACATAGTGTAAAAATCTAAAAGTCATGAAGGGTAAGCGAGCGGATGCTACTGTCGCCTCCCGGAGCAGGTCAACGGCACTAGTGTTCAGAACTTCAGGTAAGACTCATGTCACGTGGTATTTAGTCCTGGAGAGAAATTAACCCATCCTCCTTGATGTCGAGTTGCACGAAACAGGAAATGTTTTTTTCCCTTATATGTTGGATGGGTTCTCGATGACCCTGAAGATACAATGTTGACCAGATATAAGGCAGCTGAGCCTCGCAGTGGGCACACTCCCGGGCAGACACAAGAGGAGGTAAGCTCTCCTTAGTGTTGTGTCGGTGACATAAGTAAACTGTGACCCTGTTTGCATAAATACATTCACGCCAATATCACAATATCTGGGTGAAAAGCAGTGTACAGAAAGCTGAGAAAATATATAAATCACAATACCGTGGATGGAACTACAAATAACCCACACTTTGTAGGGAAACTTTTGATAGCGTTTTCCTTTATCTTTGCCCGTTTTCAAGTCACATCTAAGTGGAAACGTCATCTAAAGTCTCATCTCCAAAGTTTGGATTATTAATCAAAAGTTGAGATCCACCTTGGCCTGTTTCATATCTAAGTTTGTGCTTCGAAATGTGTTGATTTATGCAGATAACAAGTACGCCAGTAAACACAATTTCGATTAATAACTAAAAATATCTGTGTTGCAGATGAAGGCAGTGTTGATACTCACCGTAGCTACTGCGGCAACCGCTCAGTACTATAGTCCCTATGGCAGAATTGGAAGTAGCGGTCTTGTCGGAGGCGGAGGTTTAATTGGTAGCGGAGGTCTTGTTGGAGGCGGTGGTCTAGTCGGAGGAGGTGGTCTTGTTGGAGGCAGTGGTCTTGGTCTTATCGGTGGAATCGGCAGTGGTGTGGGTGTTAGGCACGGCGGCCTGTACGGACTGGTGAGTGATTTAATTCAAGCATAAAACTTGCTCATTTTGACTAACTTGACTTTAACCATTGTAGGAACAGTGCATGTATACACTCTCTGTTGACTTCCTCTGAATATAGAGTGTGTAAACCATAAAGAATGTTTCTATTTAGCTAATTTTCGTAGCAAACTTTAAACTGAGGATAACGATTTAACTTAGCGGATCGTCGTGTATATCAGAGTATTACCCCAGTGTATTACCAGAGAATCTTAAACAAAATGTTGTAAAACGTCAACGTACAAATTTCTTTGAACAATTAATGAAGGGTTTCCTGTAGCCATAACAAATTTAATTTGTAGGCCTCGGTCAGACGACCAAAAGCTCCAACGGCGGGTCGTCATCTAAGACCTGCGTCAGGAAACACTTGTCCTGTTTCCTGACAAACTTTATCTAACCTGGAGAATCTATCATTAAGAACAAATTTAAAATCAGTAATACTCAATATTATTTTTAAGTAAGCATGAACGTCATCATTCAATAAATCTTTAGCCAGCGAACAATTATTCATTTTTCAATTACTGGAACCAAAATCTCAAGCCCAGACTAGGTTTGGGAGGGTAGGTGACTTGAACCTGCCTCGCATGGGCCAGTAGGCCTGCTGTAATATTCCTTCTTTCTTATGTTCTTATATATAATTTCACAGGTTGACTTGAGTACAGGTGGTAGTGACTACCACTTCTCGTGGCGACACGATGGCGCCAGGAAATATGATTGGTATACTGCTAACAAGTATTGTGCCAAGCTGGGCAGGGGATGGCAAGGCGTCAGTATTGAAACGCCACTGGAGAACAAAATCATCTCCGAAATAATTTACAAAGGTCAGTTTGGACGTCATCATTACTCTTTTTGTTGGCTTAGGCTGCTCTAATATACATGTATATCATCACAAAGATATTAATAAGAATGTTAGTTTTCTATTCTTCTTCTTCTTCTTCTTCTTCTTCTTCTTCTTCTTCTTCTTCTTCTTCTTCTTCTTCTTCTTCTTCTTCTTCTTCTTCTTCTTCTTCCTCTTCTTCTTTTTCTCATTATTATTATTATTATTATTATTATTATTATTATTATTATTATTATTATTATTATTATTATTATTATTATTATTATTATTATTACTATTATTATTATGTAGGTCATCGAGCACAACAAGTCGTGGAGGCTCAGTCCTCCTGCTAATCGAGCTCAGTGCAAATTGCTGACTGAAAAATCTAAGTATGAATATTGGTATACTAGAACATGCAAGCTGGAGAACTTGAGTTCTCCAGCAACAATTATGAGAGATACTCTGCTAAGTGTTCCTTCAAGGGAGTTCCTTGATGCTGGAAAATGGTTCTTGATACTTAGAACTGAAGCTACCCATATCCTGCCTTATTTAAACCTTGATTATCTCCAGTTTTCCATGTATTGTATTATCCCTATGGCTTTAGCATGATCTGATGTCTCATCTAGCATGATCTGATGTCTCATCTAGCATGATCTGATGTCTCATCTAGCATGATCTGATGTCTCATGTAGCATGATCTGATGTCTCATCTAGCATGATCTGATGTCTCATCTAGCATGATCTGATGTCTCATGTAGCATGATCTGATGTCTCATCTAGCATGATCTGATGTCTCACCTAGCATGATCCGATGTCTCATCTAGCATGATCTGATGTCTCATCTAGCATGATCTGATGTCTCTCTTTACAGAGCGGGTAAAGTACATCTGGACCGGAGGTTACCGCAGCGGTTATACATTCGCCTGGCCCTCTGGTTTTCCATTTTATGGTCTCAACTGGTCCCACACAGGCAGGTGAGTCCTGATCTCTGGGCATGATGCCCATTGGGCAACTTTTTATCACCATTGAGCTTTTATGTTGCAGATGCAACAGTTTCGATTTTTTTGAAAACTTACCCCAATAATTACTCCATAACTTACTCTATAATTACTTCATAATTTACTCCATAATTACTCCATAACTTACTCCATAAGTACCTGATAATCATTCTAAGTTTCCTTCGTCTTGCGCTGAGTGTACGGCTACGCCTCACAGATTTGTCTCTCTCTTGCCAGTCTTGGACTACCCCAGCCAGACAACGCTGAAAACGGGAAGGAATTCTGTCTGGCAGTACTAAACAACTTCTACAACGATGGTATAAGATGGCATGACGTCACTTGTCCCCACGAGAAACCTATCATCTGTGAACGACGTCGCTTCTATTATTACGGCTGAAGAGAGACACCTGCACTGAGAAAGACACTATGATTGCAGTGAAGTCTTTGTTACGAGGTTTGGACCTGCATGAAACGTCGTAATAAAGTCGGCAAACACCATTGTTTATACACACACCAGCAATCATTCTTCCTGACCAGCCTTCTACTCCCTGCTACCTAACCTTGCATGTTTATCTTTTACTTAACTCTCCACACCTTTGTGATATTGATGACGCTTCCTCATTAAAAATCTAATAAACATATTATTCAACTCCCCCTGTGTTTATTTTGCATCTTTTATCTCTCGTTCGCGATATATATATATATATATATATATATATATATATATATATATATATATATATATATATATAATATATATATATATATATATATAAACACTAATCTCGGGTCGAAGGAGATTCGAACCTACGAACCTTTGGAACAAGGTACGCAGTGCTCTACCACCATACCACACTGGTCCAATACCTTGGCGCCCAGCTAACGTTAGACGTTTAGGTCCAAGGCAGTTAGCGTTCAGACAGGTGGCTTTAAGCTTTTCATCTCCTCCCCTGCATACATTGACCGACGATGCAGAGGAGGAGATGAAAAGCTGAAAGCCACCTGCCTGAATGCTGGCTGCCTTGGACCAAAACGTCTAGCATTAGCTGGGCACCAAGGTATTAGGATCAGTTTGGTACGGTGGTAGAGCACTGCGTACCTTGTTCCAGGGTTCGTAGGTTCGAATCTCCTTCGACCTGAGATTAGTGTTTGTGAATATTTCGCCTGTTCTGTAAATTTTAAAAGCAAACAAACAAATACACAAGCACACTCACACACATTGCATACAGATTGCATTTTCTTGGACTGTAAGAAGGCGTTTGACACAGTTCCACACAAGAGATTAGTGCAAAACTGGAGGACCAGGCAGGGATAACAGGGAAGGCACTACAATGGATCAGGGAATACCTGTCAGGAAGACAGCAGCGAGTCATGGTACGAGGCGGGGTGTCAGAGTGGGCGCCTGTGACGAGTGGAGTTCCACAGGGGTCAATCCTAGGACCGGTGCTGTTTCTGGTATTCGTTAACGACATGACGGAAGGAATAGACTCCGAAGTGTCCCTGTTTGCAGATGATGTAAAGTTAATGAGAAGAATTCAATCGGACGAGGATCAAGAACTACAAAGGGATCTGGACAGGCTGCAGACCTGGTCCAGCAATTGGCTCCTGGAGTTCAACCCCCACCAAGTACAAAGTCATGAAGATTGGGGAAGAACAAAGAAGACCGCAGACGGAGTACAGTCTAGGGTGCCAGAGAATACAAACCTCACTCAAGGAAAAAGATCTTGGGGTGAGTATAACACCAGGCACATCTCCTGAAGCGCACATCAACCAAATAACTTCTGCAGCATATGGGCGCTTAGCAAACCTCAGAACAGCATTCTGACATCTTAATAAGGAATCGTTCAGGACCCTGTACACTGTGTACGCTAGGCCCATATTGGATATGCGGCGCCAGTTTGGAGCCCACATCTAGCCAAGCCCGTAAAGAAAGTAGAGAAAGTTCAAAGTTTTGCAACAAGACTAGTCCCAGAGCTTAGGGGTATGTCCTACGAAGAGAGGTTAAGGAAATCGACCTGACGTCACTGGAGGACAGGAGAGATAGGGGAGACATGATAACGACATATAAAATACTGAGAGGAATTGACAAGGTGGACAAAGACAGGATGTTCCAGAGATTGGACACAACAACAAGGGGACACAGTTGGAAGTTGAAGACACAGATGAATCACAGGGATGTTAGGAAGTATTTCTTCAGCCACAGAGTAGTCAGTAAGTGGAATAGTTTGGGAAGCGATGTAGTGGAGGCAGGATCCATACATAGCTTTAAGCAGAGGTATGATAAAGTTCACGGTTCAGGGAGAGTTACCCAGTAGCGACCAGTGAAGAGGCGGGGCCATGAGCTATGACTCGACCTCTGCAACCAAAACTAGGTGAGTACAACTAGGTGAGTACAAATAGGTGAGTTCAACTAGGTGAGTTCAACTAGGTGAGTACAACTAGGTGAGTACAACTAGGTGAGTACAACTAGGTGAGTACATAATTACATATTCGGTAGAGGTTTAGTCACGAATATCACAAGTAGTGTCAGCGCTGACAGTGAAGTGTGGTTACAGATGGCTGCAAGTCACTGTTCTTACCCCCTCGTTCTTGCTCGTGCTATTTTCTACTAATATCAAGCTCTTTGTCCTCTGCTCATGAATAGAGTTTTTATGTAAACAAGTTATATTAATTCTATCAAGTTACCTCTGTCATTCTCTAGGTCAATGATATACAATAATGCAGTTTTTATCTTTAACGATGTTGAAAAAATTCGTAGTTTTTTTTATAACTTTGTACCTGAATCAGATGAAAGTAATGGATTTTTTAGGGTTACAGTTAGGTGAACAAAGTTACGTATAGAGAGTATCTCGCTATTAGCGGACGGTGTATCGAGCATTCACCACTCCTGCTGAATGGCCAACTTGTTTTTTACGGCATTAAGTAAATAAATATTAAAGACGAATAAATATTTTTTTTATTTTTTTACTTGAAGTAAATCTTAAAATATATTTACAGTAAATAAGCTCACTCAGTTATAAACGAGAGTACAATGTAAACAGAGACATAACAAAAGGAGAATGCACTGTTCTATTCTTTTAACATTCCTCAGATATGTTACAGTTTGAGTCAGAATCTGACAGCACAAACTGAATATACAGGCCCTTGTAGCTATCACTGTTCAATGCTACACATTCCGAGTCCAACGGCTCATGTAGAACACAAGATTGATGCAAACAAAGGAGTAAGTTACTCAGGAGTAAATAACGGGGAGTGGAGAAAATATTAATAGGTATTTTTAAGATATAAAGAGAACACTAGCATGAGTTGTCTACTGTTTGGAGGACAGAGTGGGTTTATGGCCTCGACTGGTTGGTTAATGGGGTTTAATCATTGTCGAATAAACGCATGGTCATTAAGGCTATTTAATCTATTTGCCACAAGGCAATAAAACTACAATCCCTGAAATAGAAATTAATGTAAATTCTTAGCACATATACACACAGAAACATATACACTTCTCAGTTTATATAAGTTTGTCTTGATTAATTCATCTCCTGACTGTAAAGTCTTACAGACAGAGAGGGTGTACTTTGATGCTTGTAAATTAATTGTATCTAGCAAGTCCTTTGGATCATAGTTGATTACCTTACATTCCTCAGACACTACACAGATAACCAGTACATAGGAGAGAGAAGCTTACGCCTGGGGGCCCTCAGAGATTAGGAGCCCTGAAGCTTAATCTTCAGTAGCTTCATAGTAGAACCTTCCCTGGAACACCTAGTGATTGTTACTTAAGGGCGTTCTTGTACCGCAGCTGATCCACAGCGTTTTCATGGTGAGACAGTATTTAATAGCTGCGGTAGTGTTCTGTTGAAGGAAGCTATGCGCACGGATATTTACACTATCAACACCACTATGTGGCCCTGCCAAGCATGGGCCAGTAGGCCTGCTGCAGTGCTTTTTCTTTTTATGTTCTATGCGCAGAAAAATGAAAACCGTGGCAATGGTCAAGATATATTATATATTTCAGTTTGCGCACTGGAAATGCACTGATATATCAACACGTAAATCCCAAATGAATGAAAAATTAAACAGTTGCAAGTATAAATGAATGTCATCCTCAGGGGATGAATAATGCATTTAACTGTATATAGAATATTATCAAGGTAGAAGACCTTAATATAACTGTCAATATCTATGTTGCAGATGAAAGCAGTGTTGATTCTCACTGTGGCTGCTGCAGCAGCAGCTCAGTACTACGGCACCTACGGACATGGTGGATATGGTGCTGGTCCACTTGCCAGTAAACTTGTAGGCGGTGGTCACATTGGAGGTACAAGTGTTGGTATTGGCGGTGGTCTTGGCGTTGGCGGTGGTCTTGGCGTTGGCGGTGGTCTTGGCGTTGGCGGTGGTCTTGGCGTTGGCGGTGGTCTGGTCGGTGGGTACGGAAAGGTGAGTAAAAGCAATGAAACATCAAATGAGTAAAATTATTAATTTTGTAAATTTAGAAGCATTCATAACACGAAACAAACAGTAAATATAAAGACATGAAGTATATATAAGAGCTTCAAGAAAAACACAAAGTGCAAAGAAAATCTTTGATACAAGAGGTTCCTTGGATCAAATAGCGAGGTTGCTAAATTATTTCTTGAGACCAAAAAATATCAAAGTTAATCGAATGTGTAATGTTTACAGGTGGACTTGAGTGTTGGTGAGAGCGACTACCACTTCTCGTGGCGTCACGACGGAGGCAAGAAGTATGACTGGCATACTGCTAACTATTACTGCTCCAGTCTGGGCAAGGGATGGCAGGGCGTCAGCATTGAGACTCCAGAAGAGGACAAAATCATCTCAGGCATCATCTACAAAGGTCAGTAAAACAACAACAATTTTCTAAGTTCACTTTACTTACATTGGTAAAAAATTTCCGCATGAGAAAGTTGATAAAAAAATCATTATTCATAATTATAATAATATAATAATAATAATAATAATAATAATAATAATAATAATAATAATAATAACGAAAATACCCTTATTCACACTTTTGTTATTAATCATAATTTTTTGTTATCATGAAAGGGAATGCTGTTTATTATTTTCTTCTCTGATTATGATCAATACTTGCTTGGCATTATTCTCTTATTTAACAAATAAGATACATGTGCAATAAAGATTTTCAGGTATTCCACATATATCTTACTAATGAAATTTGCCTTTATTATCTCCTGTAATGATTATTATATTCGTTTTCTTGCCCAGACAAGCTGGAGTACATCTGGACTGGTGGTTACCGTAGTGGCTACGACTTCGCCTGCCTTCTGGCTATCCTTCTACGGAATTAACTGTCTTACACATGGCAGGTGAGTTCTGCACTCATCCACTTCTCCTTTGTAAACTTTAAGCTGAAGTAATTGGTATTTCTATACGGATAACTATTTAATGGGCTGTTTTGTGTATGACTGACAGCCTGGAAGTTGTCTGAGGCAATAATTAATAATTATGGCTATATAACTACTGTTTCTGTGTTGATCGAGAGTAATTAACTCTGAAGTGAAGATCATGAGGAATATTTGCTTTATTTTAAAATATTTGAGCGGTGTTCTTTATCTATTTTTAATTAATTTAAGGAAAACAAAATGTTTGTATAAGGTTCTGTAATCCAGTTTCAGTATTAAATTCCTATGATCAACAGAAGCGGTATTTTAAAAAGGTATAAAATACCGACAGGTTGTTAGGTACCTAACAAAAGCAGTATTTATATATATTTTAAGCGTTTCGATGAGGAGCTAAATAATAAGCATGATCATGTGTGGCCCGGTATGTGTTGTTTTCGTGATGAAAACAACACATACCTGAGCATGGGTAGGTAATGGGGAAAATAGATGAAAATGCTGCTCACTGCATTTGAATTCATCATGTCTGATGTGCTGAGAAAGACACTAATAATTTGTTTTTCTGCCTCAGTGAGGGATTACCTCAACCAGACAACGCTGAGGAAGGGAAGGAGTTCTGTCTGGCAGTTCTTAACAATTTCTACAACGACGGCATCAAATGGCACGACGTTGCTTGCTACCACCCAAAGGCCATCATCTGCGAGCGTCGCGCTTACAAGCTCTATGGCTGAGCTCCCTTGACTCCCTCCCACCTCACGTGGGCTCATATTGCTGATTCTTTGAGACAAAGTGGAAACTTGATAGTCTTGGATGTTGATCACATATTTTATATCTAAAAATCTAATAAATTTACCAACCCTTTATATAATTTTTATATTGACCTAAAAATGGAGAGCACTTAAGCATTATATCTCTTTTGTGTTAGTGTATAACGTGAGGCATTAGAGTCAATGACCACCGTAATTATCAACAGGTTGGACCTAAGTGATGCCAGAACACTCCCTGTACGTAATACATAATAAATTGATCCATAGTCCCCTTCACTATAAATTCACATTTTATTTAACATGACGAAAAATGTTATGTTTCTTGGAGTGTAATTTTTAACTACGTTGACATTCACAACTGATGCAACATCCCCCTTACTTCTGATTTGTAAACAATGTGCTACAAAGTTTTGGTTTTTCATTTGATGAATCGTAAAGTTTTTGCTGCAGATGCGACAGGTTGAGAGACAGATCTCCTTATAATTATTACTTCTACTGTCGCCAGTATTATATTCGCCTGTAAGCGACTGAAGAAGCCTGTTTAGCATGCAGAATGCCTCTTCACTTTATACTGGGATTCCTATTTATGATAAAGTAGACATTTGTGCAACACTTGGTTATCTATATTGTGGAAATTTTCGTCAGCCAGTGGCTTCCTCAGTCCAATACAAATAATAATGGTTGAAGATCAGTAGTTTGAGGTAATCAGTCCCTTAGCCTGGAGTTGATGTGATCAATCTAACAATCTTGATAAGAGTACAGCATATGTACGAAGGAGCTTATGTACTGTAGATAGGTGAGGTGAAGCAGTCGTAGAGGGTTTGTCACATTGGACAAATCCACAAGTCATGCCCTTGGTAACTGACACTAAGAAATGGTTTCAAAAGACACATGAGAAAACACTAAGACATACTTATTAGAAAACGTTTCGGTCCTGGAATCTTGATCCAATAAATATGTCCTAGTGTTTGTTCAGTGGCCTTTAACATTAAAACAAATTGCCTTCAATTCCCCAGCACTCACAACTCATACGTTATTGGCACTTCACCATAAAAATAATAATAAAAAATAATAATAATATATAATAAAAATAATAATAATAATAATAATAATAATAATAAAGGTTTAATTATTATTATTTATTAACAATAATAATAATAATAATAAAGATAATCATATTGTCGTTGATGTTATTGTTATTGCTAGTAGTTGTGCCATCTGTTGTGCTCCAGATGACATTAGCAGATCCTTGGATATATAGAAAAGTAATCCCTGGGATTCCCCCTTCTTCCCTTAACGGTGGAGGAGCCAGAACACAGGCTGCTCCACTGTCCTTCGAAGGTTCAACTACTCAGGGCCAGGTCTTATTTTACACCTTCGCACTAACTATTAATACTTTTTTCTCCTCTCCCCCGTTATCTACCCCTGAGTAACTTTAAGCAGAATCGGTCTCATGTTCTGCGGGAGTTGCCAGTAATAGTGGAATAACACAGACATGTACGCAACCTAAGATGTCATACGCTCACACGGAATGAGGCGTATCTCAGCAATGATATTTACTACCAACCCATGGAGTCCATGACTTATTTTTTAGCAAAAATGGATGAATCAGCAGTGTGCTACTACTATTCTCTATGACGGTTTCATTGTGGGAACAAAAGCTAACTGTGTTTCCCCCTGTCATATTCCGTCACGCAGTATGGGTCGCATACATAGTGTAAAAATCTAAAAGTCATGAAGGGTAAGCGAGCGGATGCTACTGTCGCCTCCCGGAGCAGGTCAACGGCACTAGTGTTCAGAACTTCAGGTGAGTAAGACTCATGTCACGTGGTATTTAGTCCTGGAGAGAAATTAACCCATCCTCCTTGATGTCGAGTTGCACGAAACAGGAAATGTTTTTTTCCCTTATATGTTGGATGGGTTCTCGATGACCCTGAAGATACAATGTTGACCAGATATAAGGCAGCTGAGCCTCGCAGTGGGCACACTCCCGGGCAGACACAAGAGGAGGTAAGCTCTCCTTAGTGTTGTGTCGGTGACATAAGTAAACTGTGACCCTGTTTGCATAAATAACATTCACGCCAATATACAATATCGGGTGAAAAGCAGTGTACAGAAAGCTGAGAAAATATATAAATTACAATACCGTGGATGGAACTACAAATAACCCACACTTTGTAGGGAAACTTTTGATAGCGTTTTCCTTTATCTTTGCCCGTTTTCAAGTCACATCTAAGTGGAACGTCATCTAAAGTCTCATCTCCAAAGTTTGGATTATTAATCAAAAGTTGAGATCCACCTTGGCCTGTTTCATATCTAAGTTTGTGCTTCGAAATGTGGTTGATTTATGCAGATAACAAGTACGCCAGTAAAACACAATTTCGATTAATAACTAAAAATATCTGTGTTGCAGATGAAGGCAGTGTTGATACTCACCGTAGCTACTGCGGCAAACCGCTCAGTACTATAGTCCCTATGGCAGAATTGGAAGTAGCGGTCTTGGAGGAGGAGGTTTAATTGGTAGCGGAGGTCTTGTTGGAGGCGGTGGTCTAGTCGGAGGAGGTGGTCTTGTTGGAGGCAGTGGTCTTGGTCTTATCGGTGGAATCGGCAGTGGTGTGGGTGTTAGGCACGGCGGCCTGTACGGACTGGTGAGTGATTTAATTCAAGCATAAAAACTTGCTCATTTTGACTAACTTGACTTTAACCATTGTAGGAACAGTGCATGTATACACTCTCTGTTGACTTCCTCTGAATATAAAGTGTGTAAACCATAAAGAATGTTTCTATTTAGCTAATTTTCGTAGCAAACTTTAAACTGAGGATAACGATTTAACTTAGCGGATCGTCGTGTATATCAGAGTATTACCCAGTGTATTACCAGAGAATCTTAAACAAAATGTTGTAAAACGTCAACGTACAAATTTCTTTGAACAATTAACGAAGGGTTTCCTGTAGCCATAACAAATTTAATTTGTAGGCCTCGGTCAGACGACCAAAAGCTCCAACGGCAGGTCGTCATCTAAGACCTGCGTCAGGAAACACTTATTCCTGTTTTCCTGACAAACTTTATCTAACCTGGAGAATCTATCATTAAGAACAAATTTAAAATCAGTAATACTCAATATTATTTTTAAGTAAGCATGAACGTCATCATTCAATAAATCTTTAGCCAGCGAACAATTATTCATTTTTCAATTACTGGAACCAAAATCTCAAGCCCAGACTAGGTTTGGGAGGGTAGGTGACTTGAACCTGCCTCGCATGGGCCAGTAGGCCTGCTGTAATATTCCTTCTTTCTTATGTTCTTATATATAATTTCACAGGTTGACTTGAGTACAGGTGGTAGTGACTACCACTTCTCGTGGCGACACGATGGCGCCAGGAAATATGTTGGTATACTGCTAACAAGTATTGTGCCAAGCTGGGCAGGGGATGGCAAGGCGTCAGTATTGAAACGCCACTGGAGAACAAAATCATCTCCGAAATAATTTACAAAGGTCAGTCTGGACGTCATCATTACTCTTTTTGTTGGCTTAGGCCGCTCTAATATACATGTATATCATCACAAAGATATTAATAAGAATGTTAGTTTCTATTCTTCTTCTTTTCTTCTTCCTTCTTCTTCTTCTTCTTCTTCTTCTTCTTTTCTTCTTCTTCTTCTTCTTCCTTTTTCTCTTCTTCTTTTTCTTTATTATTATTATTATTTTATTATTATTTTTATTATTATTTTTATTATTATTCTTACTATTATTATTATGTAGGTCATCGAGCACAACAAGTCGTGGAGGCTCAGTCCTCCTGCTAATCGAGCTCAGTGCAAATTGCTGACTGAAAAATCTAAGTATGAATATTGGTATACTAGAACATGCAAGCTGGAGAACTTGAGTTCTCCAGCAACAATTATGAGAGATACTCTGCTAAGTGTTCCTTCAAGGGAGTTCCTTGATGCTGGAAAATGGTTCTTGATACTTAGAACTGAAGCTACCCATATCCTGCCTTATTTAAACCTTGATTATCTCCAGTTTTCCATGTATTGTATTATCCCTATGGCTTTAGCATGATCTGATGTCTCATCTAGCATGATCTGATGTCTCATCTAGCATGATCTGATGTCTCATCTAGCATGATCTGATGTCTCATCTAGCATGATCTAATGTCTCTCTTTACAGAGCGGGTAAAGTACATCTGGACCGGAGGTTACCGCAGCGGTTATACATTCGCCTGGCCCTCTGGTTTTCCATTTTATGGTCTCAACTGGTCCCACACAGGCAGGTGAGTCCTGATCTCTGGGCATGATGCCCATTGGGGCAACTTTTTATCACCATTGAGCTTTTATGTTGCAGATGCAACAGTTTCGATTTTTTTGAAAACTTACCCCAATAATTACTCCATAACTTACTCTATAATTACTTCATAATTTACTCCATAATTACTCCATAACTTACTCCATAAGTACCTGATAATCATTCTAAGTTTCCTTCGTCTTGCGCTGAGTGTACGGCTACGCCTCACAGATTTGTCTCTCTCTTGCCAGTCTTGGACTACCCCAGCCAGACAAAAGCTGAAAACGGGAAGGAATTCTGTCTGGCAGTACTAAACAACTTCTACAACGATGGTATAAGATGGCAGGGCGTCACTTGTCCCACGAGAAACCTATCATCTGTGAACGACGTCGCTTCTATTATTACGGCTGAAGAGAGACACCTGCACTGAGAAAGACACTATGATTGGCAGTGAAGTCTTTGTTACGAGGTTTGGACCTGCATGAAACGTCGTAATAAAGGGCGGCAAACACCATTGTTTATACACACACCAGCAATTTATTCTTCCTGACCAGCCTTCTACTCCCTGCTACCTAACCTTGCATGTTTATCTTTTACTTAACTCTCCACACCTTTGTGATATTGATGACGCTTCCTCATTAAAAATCTAATAAACATATTATTCAACTCCCCTGTGTTTATTTTGCATCTTTTATCTCTCGTTCGCGATATATATATATATATATATATATAATATATATATATATATATATATATATATATATATATATATATATATATATATAAACACTAATCTCGGGTCGAAGGAGATTCGAACCTACGAACCTTTGGAACAAGGTACGCAGTGCTCTACCACCATACCACATGGTCCAATACCTTGGCGCCCAGCTAACGTTAGACGTTTAGGTCCAAGGCAGTTAGCGTTCAGACAGGTGGCTTTAAGCTTTTCATCTCCTCCCCTGCATACATTGACCGACGATGCAGAGGAGGAGATGAAAAGCTGAAAGCCACCTGCCTGAATGCTGGCTGCCTTGGACCAAAACGTCTAGCATTAGCTGGGCACCAAGGTATTAGGATCAGTTTGGTACGGTGGTAGAGCACTGCGTACCTTGTTCCAGGGTTCGTAGGTTCGAATCTCCTTCGACCTGAGATTAGTGTTTGTGAATATTTCGCCTGTTCTGTAAATTTTAAAAGCAAACAAACAAATACACAAGCACACACACACACATTGCATACAGATTGCATTTTCTTGGACTGTAAGAAGGCGTTTGACACAGTTCCACACAAGAGATTAGTGCAAAATGGAGGACCAGGCAGGGATAACAGGGAAGGCACTACAATGGATCAGGGAATACCTGTCAGGAAGACAGCAGCGAGTCATGGTACGAGGCGGGGTGTCAGAGTGGGGGCGCCTGTGACGAGTGGAGTTCCACAGGGGTCAATCCTAGGACCGGTGCTGTTTCTGGTATTCGTTAACGACATGACGGAAGGAATAGACTCCGAAGTGTCCCTGTTTGCAGATGATGTAAAGTTAATGAGAAGAATTCAATCGGACGAGGATCAAGAACTACAAAGGGATCTGGACAGGCTGCAGACCTGGTCCAGCAATTGGCTCCTGGAGTTCAACCCCCACCAAGTACAAAGTCATGAAGATTGGGGAAGAACAAAGAAGACCGCAGACGGAGTACAGTCTAGGGTGCAAGAGAATACAAACCTCACTCAAGGAAAAAGATCTTGGGGTGAGTATAACACCAGGCACATCTCCTGAAGCGCACATCAACCAAATAACTTCTGCAGCATATGGGCGCTTAGCAAACCTCAGAACAGCATTCTGACATCTTAATAAGGAATCGTTCAGGACCCTGTACACTGTGTACGCTAGGCCCATATTGGATATGCGGCGCCAGTTTGGAGCCCACATCTAGCCAAGCCCGTAAAGAAAGTAGAGAAAGTTCAAAGTTTTGCAACAAGACTAGTCCCAGAGCTTAGGGGTATGTCCTACGAAGAGAGGTTAAGGAAATCGACCTGACGTCACTGGAGGACAGGAGAGATAGGGGAGACATGATAACGACATATAAAATACTGAGAGGAATTGACAAGGTGGACAAAGACAGGATGTTCCAGAGATTGGACACAACAACAAGGGGACACAGTTGGAAGTTGAAGACACAGATGAATCACAGGGATGTTAGGAAGTATTTCTTCAGCCACAGAGTAGTCAGTAAGTGGAATAGTTTGGGAAGCGATGTAGTGGAGGCAGGATCCATACATAGCTTTAAGCAGAGGTATGATAAAGTTCACGGTTCAGGGAGAGTTACCCAGTAGCGACCAGTGAAGAGGCGGGGCCATGAGCTATGACTCGACCTCTGCAACCAAAACTAGGTGAAATACAACTAGGTGAGTACAAATAGGTGAGTTCAACTAGGTGAGTTCAACTAGGTGAGTACAACTAGGTGAGTACAACTAGGTGAGTACAACTAGGTGAGTACAACTAGGTGAGTACATAATTACATATTCGGTAGAGGTTTAGTCACGAATATCACAAGTAGTGTCAGCGCTGACAGTGAAGTGTGGTTACAGATGGCTGCAAGTCACTGTTCTTACCCCCTCGTTCTTGCTCGTGCTATTTTCTACTAATATCAAGCTCTTTGTCCTCTGCTCATGAATAGAGTTTTTATGTAAACAAGTTATATTAATTCTATCAAGTTACCTCTGTCATTCTCTAGGTCAGTGATATACAATAATGCAGTTTTTATCTTTAACGATGTAGAAAAAATTCGTAGTTTTTTTTCATAACTTTGTACCTGAATCAGATGAAAGTAATGGATTTTTTAGGGTTACAGTTAGGTGAACAAAGTTACGTATAGAGAGTATCTCGCTATTAGCGGACGGTGTATCGAGCATTCACCACTCCTGCTGAATGGCCAACTTGTTTTTTACGGCATTAAGTAAATAAATATTAAAGACGAATAAATATTTTTTTTATTTTTTTACTTGAAGTAAATCTTAAAATATATTTACAGTAAATAAGCCACTCAGTTATAAACGAGAGTACAATGTAAACAGAGACATAAAAAAGGAGAATGCACTGTTCTATTCTTTTAACATTCCTCAGATATGTTACAGTTTGAGTCAGAATCTGACAGCACAAACTGAATATACAGGCCCTTGTAGCTATCACTGTTCAATGCTACACATTCCGAGTCCAACGGCTCATGTAGAACACAAGATTGATGCAAACAAAGGAGTAAGTTACTCAGGAGTAAATAACGGGGAGTGGAGAAAATATTAATAGGTATTTTTAAGATATAAAGAGAACACTAGCATGAGTTGTCTACTGTTTGGAGGACAGAGTGGGTTTATGGCCTCGACTGGTTGGTTAATGGGGTTTAATCATTGTCGAATAAACGCATGGTCATTAAGGCTATTTAATCTATTTGCCACAAGGCAATAAAACTACAATATCTGAAATAGAAATTAATGTAAATTCTTAGCACATATACACACAGAAACATATACACTTCTCAGTTTATATAAGTTTGTCTTGATTAATTCATCTCCTGACTGTAAAGTCTTACAGACAGAGAGGGTGTACTTTGATGCTTGTAAATTAATTGTATCTAGCAAGTCCTTTGGATCATAGTTGATTACCTTACATTCCTCAGACACTACACAGATAACCAGTACATAGGAGAGAGAAGCTTACGCCTGGGGGCCCTCAGAGATTAGGAGCCCTGAAGCTTAATCTTCAGTAGCTTCATAGTAGAACCTTCCCTGGAACACCTAGTGATTGTTACTAAAGGGCGTTCTTGTACCGCAGCTGATCCACAGCGTTTTCATGGTGAGACAGTATTTAATAGCTGCGGTAGTGTTCTGTTGAAGGAAGCTATGCGCACGGATATTTACACTATCAACACCACTATGTGGCCCTGCCAAGCATGGGCCAGTAGGCCTGCTGCAGTGCTTTTTCTTTTTATGTTCTATGCGCAGAAAAATGAAAACCGTGGCAATGGTCAAGATATATTATATATTTCAGTTGCGCACTGGAAATGCACTGATATATCAACACGTAAATCCCAAATGAATGAAAAATTAAAACAGTTGCAAGCATAAATGAATGTCATCCTCAGGGGATGAATAATGCATTTAACTGTATATAGAATATTATCAAGGTAGAAGACCTTAATATAACTGTCAATATCTATGTTGCAGATGAAAGCAGTGTTGATTCTCACTGTGGCTGCTGCAGCAGCAGCTCAGTACTACGGCACCTACGGACATGGTGGATATGTGCTGGTCCACTTGCCAGTAAACTTGTAGGCGGTGGTCACATTGGAGGTACAAGTGTTGGTATTGGCGGTGGTCTTGGCGTTGGCGGTGGTCTTGGCGTTGGCGGTGGTCTTGGCGTTGGCGGTGGTCTGGTCGGTGGGTACGGAAAGGTGAGTAAAAGCAATGAAACATCAAATGAGTAAAATTATTAATTTTTGTAAATTTAGAAGCATTCATAACACGAAACAAACAGTAAAATATAAAGACATGAAGTATATATAGAGCTTCAAGAAAAACACAAAGTGCAAAGAAAATCTTTGATACAAGAGGTTCCTTGGATCAAATAGCGAGGTTGCTAAATTATTTCTTGAGACCAAAAAATATCAAAGTTAATCGAATGTGTAATGTTTACAGGTGGACTTGAGTGTTGGTGAGAGCGACTACCACTTCTCGTGGCGTCACGACGGAGGCAAGAAGTATGACTGGCATACTGCTAACTATTACTGCTCCAGTCTGGGCAAGGGATGGCAGGGCGTCAGCATTGAGACTCCAGAAGAGGACAAAATCATCTCAGGCATCATCTACAAAGGTCAGTAAAACAACAACAATTTTCTAAGTTCACTTTACTTACATTGGTAAAAAATTTCCGCATGAGAAAGTTGATAAAAAAATCATTATTCATATTATAATAATAATAATAAGGTTAAGGTTAAGGTAGTAGGTTGGTAGACAGCAACCACCCAGGGAAGTACTACCGTCCTGCCAGATGACTGTGAAACAAAAACCTGTAACTGTTTTGCATGATGGTAGGATTGCTGGTTTCTTTTTCTGTCTCATAAACACGCTAAGATAACAGGGATATCTTGCTACTCCTACTTACACTTTGGTCACACTTCACAGACACGCACATGCATATATATATATACATACATCTAGGTTTTTCTCCTTTTTCTAAATAGCTCTTGTTCTTTTTTTATTTCTTCTATTGTCCATGGGGAAGTGGAAAAGAATCTTTCCTCCGTAAGCCATGCGTGTCGTATGAGGCGACTAAATGCCGGGAGCAATGGGCTAGTAACCCCTTCTCCTGTATACAATTACTAAAAAAGAGAAGAAGAAAAACTTTATAAAACTGGGTTGCTTAAATGTGCGTGGATGTAGTGCGGATGACAAGAAACAGATGATTGCTGATGTTATGAATGAAAAGAAGTTGGATGTCCTGGCCCTAAGCGAAACAAAGCTGAAGGGGGTAGGAGAGTTTCAGTGGGGGGAAATAAATGGGATTAAATCTGGAGTATCTGAGAGAGTTAGAGCAAAGGAAGGGGTAGCAGTAATGTTAAATGATCAGTTATGGAAGGAGAAAAGAGAATATGAATGTGTAAATTCAAGAATTATGTGGATTAAAGTAAAGGTTGGATGCGAGAAGTGGGTCATAATAAGCGTGTATGCACCTGGAGAAGAGAGGAATGCAGAGGAGAGAGAGAGATTTTGGGAGATGTTAAGTGAATGTATAGGAGCCTTTGAACCAAGTGAGAGAGTAATTGTGGTAGGGGGACCTGAATGCTAAAGTAGGAGAAACTTTTAGAGAGGGTGTGGTAGGTAAGTTTGGGGTGCCAGGTGTAAATGATAATGGGAGCCCTTTGATTGAACTTTGTATAGAAAGGGTTTAGTTATAGGTAATACATATTTTAAGAAAAAGAGGATAAATAAGTATACACGATATGATGTAGGGCGAAATGACAGTAGTTGTTGGATTATGTATTGGTAGATAAAAGACTGTTGAGTAGACTTCAGGATGTACATGTTTATAGAGGGGCCACAGATATATCAGATCACTTTCTAGTTGTAGCTACACTGAGAGTAAAAGGTAGATGGGATACAAGGAGAATAGAAGCAATCAGGGAAGAGAGAGGTGAAGGTTTATAAACTAAAAGAGGAGGCAGTTAGGGTAAGATTATAAACAGCTATTGGAGGATAGATGGGCTAATGAGAGCATAGGCAATGGGGTCGAAGAGGTATGGGGTAGGTTTAAAAATGTAGTGTTAGAGTGTTCAGCAGAAGTTTGTGGTTACAGGAAAGTGGGTGCAGGAGGGAAGAGGAGCGATTGGTGGAATGATGATGTAAAGAGAGTAGTAAGGGAGAAAAAGTTAGCATATGAGAAGTTTTTACAAAGTAGAAGTGATGCAAGGAGGGAAGAGTATATGGAGAAAAAGAGAAGTTAAGAGAGTGGTGAAGCAATGTAAAAAGAGAGCAAATGAGAGAGTGGGTGAGATGTTATCAACAAATTTTGTTGAAAATAAGAAAAAGTTTTGGAGTGAGATTAACAAGTTAAGAAAAGCCTAGAGAACAAATGGATTTGTCAGTTAAAAATAGGAGAGGAGAGTTATTAAAATGGAGAGTTAGAGGTATTGGGAAGATGGAAGGAATATTTTGAGGAATTGTTAAATGTTGATGAAGATAGGAAGCTGTGGTTTCGTGTATAGGGCAAGGAGGAATAACATCTTGTAGAGTGAGGAAGAGCCAGTTGTGAGTGTGGGGGAAGTTCGTGAGGCAGTAGGTAAAATGAAAGGGGTAAGGCAGCCGGGATTGATGGGATAAAGATAGAAATGTTAAAAGCAGGTGGGGATATAGTTTTGGAGTGGTTGGTGCAATTATTTAATAAATGTATGGAAGAGGGTAAGGTACCTAGGGATTGGCAGAGAGCATGCATAGTTCCTTTGTATAAAGGCAAAGGGGATAAAAGAGAGTGCAAAAATTATAGGGGGATAAGTCTGTTGAGTGTACCTGGTAAAGTGTATGGTAGAGTTATAATTGAAAGAATTAAGAGTAAGACGGAGAATAGGATAGCAGATGAACAAGGAGGCTTTAGGAAAGGTAGGGGGTGTGTGGACCAGGTGTTTACAGTGAAACATATAAGTGAACAGTATTTAGATAAGGCTAAAGAGGTCTTTGTGGCATTTATGGATTTGGAAAAGGCGTATGACAGGGTGGATAGGGGGGCAATGTGGCAGATGTTGCAAGTGTATGGTGTAGGAGGTAGGTTACTGAAAGCAGTGAAGAGTTTTTACGAGGATAGTGAGGCTCAAGTTAGAGTATGTAGGAAAGAGGGAAATTTTTTCCCAGTAAAAGTAGGCCTTAGACAAGGATGTGTGATGTCACCGTGGTTGTTTAATATATTATAGATGGGGTTGTAAGAGAAGTAAATGCGAGGGTCTGGCAAGAGGCGTGGAGTTTAAAAGATAAAGAATCACACACAAAGTGGGAGTTGTCACAGCTGCTCTTTGCTGATGACACTGTGCTCTTGGGAGATTCTGAAGAGAAGTTGCAGAGATTGGTGGATGAATTTGGTAGGGTGTGCATAAGAAGAAAATTAAAGGTGAATACAGGAAAGAGTAAGGTTATGAGGATAACAAAAAGATTAGGTGATGAAAGATTGAATATCAGATTGGAGGGAGAGAGTATGGAGGAGGTGAACGTATTCAGATATTTGGGAGTGGACGTGTCAGCGGATGGGTCTATGAAAGATGAGGTGAATCATAGAATTGATGAGGGAAAAAGAGTGAGTGGTGCACTTAGGAGTCTGTGGAGACAAAGAACTTTGTCCTTGGAGGCAAAGAGGGGAAATGTATGAGAGTATAGTTTTACCAACGCTCTTATATGGGTGTGAAGCGTGGGTGATGAATGTTGCAGCGAGGAGAAGGCTGGAGGCAGTGGAGATGTCATGTCTGAGGGCAATGTGTGGTGTGAATATAATGCAGAGAATTCGTAGTTTGGAAGTTAGGAGGAGGTGCGGGATTACCAAAACTGTTGTCCAGAGGGCTGAGGAAGGGTTGTTGAGGTGGTTCGGACATGTAGAGAGAATGGAGCGAAACAGAATGACTTCAAGAGTGTATCAGTCTGTAGTGGAAGGAAGGCGGGGTAGGGGTCGGCCTAGGAAGGGTTTGGAGGGAGGGGGTAAAGGAGGTTTTGTGTGCGAGGGGCTTGGACTTCCAGCAGGCATGCGTGAGCGTGTTTGATAGGAGTGAATGGAGACAAATGGTTTTTAATACTTGACGTGCTGTTGGAGTGTGAGCAAAGTAACATTTATGAAGGGATTCAGGGAAACCGGCAGGCCGGACTTGAGTCCTGGAGATGGGAAGTACAGTGCCTGCACTCTGAAGGAGGGGTGTTAATGTTGCAGTTTAAAAACTGTAGTGTAAAGCACCCTTCTGGCAAGACAGTGATGGAGTGAATGATGGTGAAAGTTTTTCTTTTTCGGGCCACCCTGCCTTGGTGGGAATCGGCCGGTGTGATAAAAAAAAAAAAAAAAAAAAAAAAAATAATAATAATAATAATAATAATAATAATAATAATAATAATAATAATAATAATAATAACGAAAATACCCTTATTCACACTTTTGTTATTAATCATAATTTTTTGTTATCATGAAAGGGAATGCTGTTTATTATTTTCTTCTCTGATTATGATCAATACTTGCTTGGCATTATTCTCTTATTTAACAAATAAGATACATGTGCAATAAAGATTTTCAGGTATTCCACATATATCTTACTAATGAATTTCCCTTTATTATCTCCTGTAATGATTATTATATTCGTTTTCTTGCCCAGACAAGCTGGAGTACATCTGGACTGGTGGTTACCGTAGTGGCTACGACTTCGCCTGGCCTTCTGGCTATCCCTTCTACGGAATTAACTGGTCTTACACTGGCAGGTGAGTTCTGCACTCATCCACTTCTCCTTTGTAAACTTTAAGCTGAAGTAATTGGTATTTCTATACCGGATAACTATTTAATGGGCTGTTTTGTGTATGACTGACAGCCCTGGAAGTTGTCTGAGGCAATAATTAATAATTATGGCTATATAACTACTGTTTCTGTGTTGATCGAGAGTAATTAACTCTGAAGTGAAGATCATGAGGAATATTTGCTTTTTTTTAAAAAATATTTGAGCGGTGTTCTTTATCTATTTTTAATTAATTTAAGGAAAACAAAATGTCTGTATAAGGTTCTGTAATCCAGTTTCAGTATTAAATTCCTATGATCAACAGAAGCGGTATTTTAAAAAGGTATAAAATACCGACAGGTTGTTAGGTACCTAACAAAAGCAGTATTTATATATATTTTAAGCGTTTCGATGAGGAGCTAAATAATAAGCATGATAATGTATGGCCCGATATGTGTTGTTTTCGTGATGAAAACAACACTTACCTGAGCATGGGTAGGTAATGGGGAAAATAGATGAAAATGCTGCTCACTGCATTTGAATTCATCATGTCTGCTGTGGCAGAAAGACACTAATAATTTGTCTTTCTGCCTCAGTGAGGGATTACCTCAACCAGACAACGCTGAGGAAGGGAAGGAGTTCTGTCTGGCAGTTCTTAACAATTTCTACAACGACGGCATCAAATGGCACGACTTTTGCTTGCTACCACCCAAAGGCCATCATCTGCGAGCGTCCCGCTTACAAGCTCTATGGCTGAGCTCCCTTGACTCCCTCCCACCTCACGTGGGCTCATATTGCTAAATTCTTTGAGACAAAGTGGAAACTTGATAGTCTTGGATGTTGATCACATATTTTTATCAAAAAAATCTAATAAATTTACCAACCCTTTATATAATTTTTATATTGACCTAAGAATGGAGAGCACTTAAGCATTATATCTCTTTTGTGTTAGTGTATAACGTGAGGCATTAGAGTCAATGACCACCGTAATTATCAACAGGTTGGACCTAAGTGATGCCAGAACACTCCCTGTACGTAATACATAATAAATTGATCCATAGTCCCCTTCACTATAAATTCACATTTTAATTTAACATGACTAAAATGTTATGTTTCTTGGAGTGTAATTTTTAACTACGTTGACATTCACAACTGATGCAACATCCCCCTTACTTCTGATTTGTAAACAATGTGCTACAAAGTTTTGGTTTTTCATTTGATGAATCGTAAAGTTTTTGCTGCAGATGCGACAGGTTGAGAGACAGATCTCCTTATAATTATTACTTCTACTGTCGCCAGTATTATATTCGCCTGTAAGCGACTGAAGAAGCCTGTTTAGCATGCAGAATGCCTCTTCACATTTATACTGGGATTCCTATTTATGATAAAGTAGACATTTGTGCAACACTTGGTTATCTATATTGTGGAAATTTTCGTGAGCCAGTGGCTTCCTTCAGTCCAATACAAATAAATAATGGTTGAAGATCAGGAGTTTGAGGTAATCAGTCCCTTAGCCTGGAGTTGATGTGATCAATCTAACAATCTTGATAAGAGTACAGCATATGTAACGAAGGAGCTTATGTACTGTAGATAGGTGAGGTGAAGCAGTCGTAGACGGTGTCACATTGGACAAATCCACAAGTCATGCCCTTGGTAACTGACACTAAGAAACTGGTTTCAAAAGACACATGAGAAAACACTAAGACATACTTATTAGAAAACGTTTCGGTCCTGGAATCTTGATCCAATAAATATGTCCAAGTGTTTGTTCAGTGGCCTTTAACATTAAAACAAATTGCCTTCAATTCCCCCAGCACTCACAACTCATACGTTTATTGGCACTTCACCATAATAATAATAATAATAATAATAATAATAATAATAATAATAATAATAATAATAATAATAATAATAATAATAATAATATAATAATAATAATAAAGCATAATATTATTATTATTAACAATAATAATAATAATAATAATAATAATTAAAGATAATCATATTGTCGTTGATGTTATTGTTATTGCTAGTAGTTGTGCCATCTGTTTGTGCTCCAGATGACATTAGCAGATCCTTGGATATATAGTAAAGTAATCCCAGGGAATTCCCCCTTCTTCCCTTAACGGTGGAGGAGCCCAGAACACAGGCTGCTCCACTGTTCTTCGAAGGTTCAACTACTCAGGCCAGGTCTTACTTTACACCTTCGCACTAACTATTAATACTTTTTTTCTCCTCTCCCCGTTATCTACCCCTGAGTAACTTTAAGCAGAATCGGTCTCATGTTCTGCGGGAGTTGCCAGTAATAGTGGAATAACCAAGACATGTACGCAACCTAAGATGTCATACCCTCACACGGAATGAGGCGTATCTCAGCAATGATATTTACTACCAACCCATGGAGTCCATGACTTATTTTTTAGCAAAAATGGATGAATCAGCAGTGTGCTACTACTATTCTCTATGACGGTTTCATTGTGGGAACAAAAGCTAACTGTGTTTCCCCCTGTCATATTCCGTCACGCAGTATGGGTCGCATACATAGTGTAAAAATCTAAAAGTCATGAAGGGTAAGCGAGCGGATGCTACTGTCGCCTCCCGGAGCAGGTCAACGGCACTAGTGTTCAGAACTTCAGGTAAGACTCATGTCACGTGGTATTTAGTCCTGGAGAGAAATTAACCCATCCTCCTTGATGTCGAGTTGCACGAAACAGGAAATGTTTTTTTCCCTTATATGTTTTGGGTGGGTTCTCGATGACCCTGAAGATACAATGTTGACCAATATAAGGCAGCTGAGCCTCGCAGTGGGCACACTCCCGGGCAGACACAAGAGGAGGTAAGCTCTCCTTAGTGTTGTGTCGGTGACATAAGTAAACTGTGACCCTGTTTGCATAAATACATTCACGCCAATATCACAATATCTGGGTGAAAAGCAGTGTACAGAAAGCTGAGAAAATATATAAATCACAATACCGTGGATGGAACTACAAATAACCCACACTTTGTAGGGAAACTTTTGATAGCGTTTTCCTTTATCTTTGCCCGTTTTCAAGTCACATCTAAGTGGAAACGTCATCTAAAGTCTCATCTCCAAAGTTTGGATTATTAATCAAAAGTTGAGATCCACCTTGGCCTGTTTCATATCTAAGTTTGTGCTTCGAAATGTGTTGATTTATGCAGATAACAAGTACGCCAGTAAACACAATTTCGATTAATAACTAAAAATATCTGTGTTGCAGATGAAGGCAGTGTTTGATACTCACCGTAGCTACTGCGGCAACCGCTCAGTACTATAGTCCTATGGCAGAATTGGAAGTAGCGGTCCTTGTCGGAGGCGGAGGTTTAATTGGTAGCGGAGGTCTTGTTGGAGGCGGTGGTCTAGTCGGAGGAGGTGGTCTTGTTGGAGGCAGTGGTCTTGGTCTTATCGGTGGAATCGGCAGTGGTGTGGGTGTTAGGCACGGCGGCCTGTACGGACTGGTGAGTGATTTAATTCAAGCATAAAACTTGCTCATTTTGACTAACTTGACTTTAACCATTGTAGGAACAGTGCATGTATACACTCTCTGTTGACTTCCTCTGAATATAAAGTGTTTAAACCATAAAGAATGTTTCTATTTAGCTAATTTTCGTAGCAAACTTTAAACTGAGGATAACGATTTAACTTAGCGGATCGTCGTGTATATCAGAGTATTACCCCAGTGTATTACCAGAGAATCTTAAACAAAATGTTGTAAAACGTCAACGTTCAAATTTCTTTGAACAATTAACGAAGGATTTCCTGTAGCCATAACAAATTTAATTTGTAGGCCTCGGTCAGACGACCAAAAGCTCCAACGGCGGGTCGTCATCTAAGACCTGCGTCAGGAAACACTTGTCCTGTTTCCTGACAAACTTTATCTAACCTGGAGAATCTATCATTAAGAACAAATTAAAAATCAGTAATACTCAATATTATTTTTAAGTAAGCATGAACGTCATCATTCAATAAATCTTTAGCCAGCGAACAATTATTCATTTTTCAATTACTGGAACCAAAATCTCAAGCCCAGACTAGGCTTGGGAGGGTAGATGACTTGAACCTGCCTCGCATGGGCCAGTAGGCCTGCTGTAATATTCCTTCTTTCTTATGTTCTTATATATAATTTCACAGGTTGACTTGAGTACAGGTGGTAGTGACTACCACTTCTCGTGGCGTCACGATGGCGCCAGGAAATATGATTGGTATACTGCTAACAAGTATTGTGCCAAGCTGGGCAGGGGATGGCAAGGCGTCAGTATTGAAACGCCACTGGAGAACAAAATCATCTCCGAAATAATTTACAAAGGTCAGTCTGGACGTCAGCATTATTCTTTTTGTTGGCTTAGGCCGCTCTAATATACATGTATATCATCACAAAGATATTAATAAGAATGTTAGTTTTCTATTCTTCTTCTTCTTCCTCTTCTTCTTCTTCTTCTTCTTCTTCTTTCTTTTCTTCTTCTTCTTCTTCTTCTTCTTCTCATTATTTTTTTATTATTATTATTATTATTATTTTATTTTTATTATTATTATTATTATTATAATTATTATTATTATTATTTATTATTATTATTATTATTATTATTATTATTATTATTATTATTATTATTATTATTATTATTATTACTATTATTATTATGTAGGTCATCGAGCACAACAAGTCGTGGAGGCTCGATCCCCCTGCTAATCGAGCTCAGTGCAAATTGCTGACTGAAAAATCTAAGTACGAATATTGGTATACTAGAACATCCAAGTCTTTGTGAAAACTTGAGTTCTCCAGCAACAATTATGAGAGATACTCTGCTAAGTGTTCCTTCAAGGGAGTTCCTTGATGCTGGAAAATGGTTCTTGATACTTAGAACTGAAGCTACCCATATCCTGCCTCATATAAACCTTGATTATCCCCAGTTTTCCATGTATTGTATTATCCATATGGCTTTAGCATGATCTGATGTCTCATCTAGCATGATCTGATGTCTCATCTAGCATGATCTGATGTCTCATCTAGCATGATCTGATGTCTCATCTAGCATGATCTAATGTCTCTCTTTACAGAGCGGGTAAAGTACATCTGGACCGGAGGTTACCGCAGCGGTTATACATTCGCCTGGCCCTCTGGTTTTCCATTTTATGGTCTCAACTGGTCCCACACAGGCAGGTGAGTCCTGACCTCGGGGCATGATGCCCATTGGGCAACTTTTTATCACCATTAAGCTTTTATGTTGCAGATGCAACAGTTTCGATTTTTTTTGAAAACTTACCCCAATAATTACCCCATAACTTACTCCATAATTACTCCATAACTTACTCCATAATTACTCCATAACTTACTCCATAAGTACCTGATAATCATTCTAATTTTCCTTCGTATTGCGCTGAGTGTACGGCTACGCCTCACAGATTTGTCTCTCTCTTGCCAGTCTTGGACTACCCCAGCCAGACAACGCTGAGAACGGGAAGGAATTCTGTCTGGCAGTACTAAACAACTTCTACAACGATGGTATAAGATGGCATGACGTCGCTTGTCACCACGAGAAACCTATCATCTGTGAACGACGTCGCTTCTATTATTACGGCTGAAGAGAGACACCTGCACTAAGAAAGACACTATGATTGCAGTGAAGTCTTTGTTACGAGGTTTGGTCCTGCATTAAAGGTCGTAATAAAGTCGGCAAACACCATTGCTTATACACACACCAGCAATCATTCTTCCTGACCAGCCTTCTACTCCCTGCTAC